CGACCACTTCGTAATCAAGGGACTTGGCGGAAGGCTCATCATCGTAGGGGTAGTACTCTTCGTTTAAGTTCTTCATCATAACACTATTACGGGCCTAACGGGACCTACTTCAGATCTAAAGGTGTTTTATGCCTAACACTAGATCAAAGGCCTAGGAAGTAAATTGGGCAAAATACAGAGGAAAATTCGATGAACTAACCTTTGAAGCTTTGAAGAACACGAAGAACACTTGCAAGGACTTTATCTCTCTAGAAATTTGGGCAGCACTTCGGTAGCTCAGATCGCAAATGAGGATTTTCTTCGAAATGGGAGGAGTATTTATAGCCCTCCTCCCCAACGGTCACTACATGTGGCACCTCCCTAGTGGCCACACCAACGGCCACCAATGGGATGCCACCATTTCGTAAATGGGCCAGGCCCAGTCCACAGATCAACAGCCCACCATCAAAGCAGTCTCTACGGAGCGAGGAATGGAAAATAGCACCCACAGCGGCCAAGGCATTCAACGGCCAACACAAACTACGGCTACCCAGGTAGCACCCGTATCAGCCATTCAAGCGGCCATACATATTATGTAAAGAAAGGCCTTACAACGGCCACAACACCACAAAAGGGAAGGGAACCTAACGGCCATCGGCCCTCGCACAAAAACCCTTGATGATAACCCTTTGAAAGCGACCTGCGTCCAAGGGTTCTCCCACAGGGTTACCTTGGTCAGGAAATCGCCAGAGGGTTGGATTCAAGGCCAGCATGAGGATCCCGCGTCGGCCTGGGTCTCACACTACTCCTTCACCCCTCACTCACTCTTCGGCCTGAAGCAGTGGGGGACTGGGGGACTACACCGGCCTCAAAACGCAAAAATGGAAAATGTCAAAAATACACAAGTACACAAGTACAAACGTGATCATATCGGCTATGCATCACAACGGCTTCAAGGTCCCTGTAAGTGCCATCTCCGGCCAGGGCAAAAGCGCAACACGCTCATCGTCCCTAAGACCTTGGGCAACTAACCACCACACACCGCCTCGGCTAAGGGCACGGATCAACGACGGCCAGAAGGAGTGAACAGCGCCCTCAACGGCCACTCAAGACAAAGGACACTCATCGCCCTCCAACAAGAGATAGCCACAATGGCCTCCTCGGCCAAAAGTACGAAATTCAATCAACAATGGTCAGAAGGAGTGAACAGCGCCCTCAACGGCCACTCAAGGCAAAGGACGCTCATCGTTCTCAAGCAAGACGCAACCGCAGTGGCCTCCTCGGCCCAAAAATAAAATTCAGCCACCCAAGATCGTGAAAGGGTAAGAATGTCCTCATCGGCCACTCATGCCAAAGACACATATCGGCCATTCACAACTGCGGACCTTCACCGCCCCCATCAAGCAAGGGTATTCATCGTCCTAGAGAGCAAGGAACACGTACCGTCCGCATGGCTAGGATCTCTCCCGTCCACAACAGGGGACACGCAACGGCCAAGCATAAAAAGAACAGGAATCTACTCTCCTTCACTTCGTCTACATCTCTGCTTAGAGAGTGGGGGACTCCTGATGGAGTATATGGGTCTAGGCCCCAGGACCCACATACTCAGGAGAACAGAAGGCACAGCTGTCACCCAGTGGGACCTCATCGGCCAGGTGACCCTCATCGGCCGGAACGAAGTCAACCCAGAACATGATCCGGAATCCAGAAGAACTGGGTGACCTCGTCGGCCGGGTCTTCGTCGGCCATGCACTCATCAGCAAGTCCCTCGTCGGCCACAAAGGACTCCCAGAACCGGATTTTACACTTACTCATTTTGTATACTCCATCATTTACTTTGTATTCGGCCCAATAGCGGTCCAGTTGTAAATGGGCCTCCCAAGCCCAAGGCTTGGGAGCCCAACCCGTATTGTTCCTATAAATACTTCCTCTGGAGGTAGTTGTAGGGGTTGGAAAATCATTTATTGAAGCATTTACTTGCATTTCTCTCTCTAGCTCTCACTTCTCTCTAGAATATAATCTATCACCTTCATATGCGTGAGTTACATTTTTCAAGTCGACCATGTCAGTCGAGACCAGTTTCTTATACAGCGCTAACACAACAATATTTGTAATGATTATATTATTTTGTGGCATAGTTATTTTACTTCGTATATGAATTACTAGTTATAATTATACAAAATTTAGTTGCTAGCAATTCAATTATAACACGAATATACGATACTGCATTGTGCAATATAGAGCTCGTTTGGTAACACTAAAAGTGACTGAATTGGCTAATTCTGCTGAAATTTATGAAATTCTGGCTGAGTGGCTGTATTGGCTTGCTGATTCATGAAAAAATTATATTTAAAATATTTGTTATTACTAAATTAAATAAAAAATTGTATGAAAAATAGCTAAAATGATCCTCTACAGTAATTTCAGCCAATACAGCCAGAAAAGTAACTTCAACCTTACCTTTTCTGCTTATTACAAAATTCAGCGCGCGAAATCAAAAGTTACGTTTTTGGTGAAAAAGCTGGCTGACAGGTCTGATAAGCCGAAAAGGTGGTCACCAAACGGGCTCATAATCTACTATAGTACTATGTAACTACTTAGTATTATAAGCTAATTACAGGAAAAATTAACTCTAATACCCATACTTTTACTCGCTTTACAAAACTGATATATACGAGAAAAGCTCACAATAATAATAATCTTTTTCTTTTTTTTACTCCAGGGGGCGTCTGATCTGAAGGAAGAGGGCTGGAGGAGCCTGCTGTAATCTAGGCTGAAACTCACACCATTGAGTTTCGAACCCGAGACCTCCCGTAAGGGAGAGTGAGTCGACGACCAGCTGGGCTGGACCGCTTCCTCTCACAATAATAATAATCATAATTAGGTAACTATTTCGTAAATATAAATAAAATGCTAACGGTGTTGACTTTGATGTTATTGTTTTAATTTTAAATATAATAAAGAAAAAAGTCATATAAAGTAACTAAGCATTCCAGCCTAAATCGTTGCGAGGTTACCATGTGTAGTGAGAGGTCTTGGGTTCGAAACCCGCTAAGCACATAAATGGTTTGAAACTCAATGAAGTGTGTTTCAGCCCTGACTACTCCAGGCCCCCCAGTCCCCCTCCCCCAGACCCCCCTGGAGTAAAAAAAAGAAAAAAGAAAAAGAAAAAAGGCATATAAACATTATTAGGAATATTATTTTTTAGCGTAATCCTTTTACTATAAATTCAATTTGACTAACAATCTTTTTCATAACATATACTTCCTCCCGTCCCAAAACATTTCACTCTCTTTTGGATAGGTCCAAAATAAATTTCACACTTCTATTTTTGACAACTTTTTAATATAAAGTTACCTTTATACTATTACTTTATTACTCACTTTGCATTCATTTTCTCTTTACCACTACACTTTATCTACTTTACTGGGAGTATAATAGGAAAGTAAAAAAAAAATTAGACTCTCTTAAAAATCATGAATTCAAATCGTGAAGTTCTTTTGGGATCGGAGGGAGTAGTAGAGATATTTGAACACTGCATACTCATTAAATTCTCTATTATCATTTATTCCTTATCGATATTTTATTTATATTCATTTTCTTGATTTTTTATTAAGAGATTTCCAAGTAGTGTGAAATATTAATTAAAAGTATGTGATAATTATTTGTTAATTAGTCAACTTTATAAATAGATTCTCTTATAAATTTTTTATTAAGAGATTTCCAAGTAGTGTAGTGATACTCAATGAAATATTGATTAAAAGTATGTGATAATTATTTGTTATTTAGTGAACTTTATAAATAGATTCTCTTATAATTTAAACGGATAAGACACTACATTGAACAACCTAATACTCCTCTGTTCCCTTTTAATTGCAACAGTCAACATTTCACGTTTGTCAACGCATAAGTTTGACCATTCATATCTTTCATTCCTTGTTAGTAAAAAATTTAAAAATTTAGAATGAGAAGAATTTAACAATATTTTTAAAAAATTTAATTTATAATACATTAATTAATAAAATATAATCAAAGTAAAATATGTGAATAGTGCAAAAAGTCCATTGTTCCAATTAAAAGAGAACCAAGGTAGTATGTAACTACTTGGTACGTATTAGTTATTAACCATGTGAGAAATTAAAAGCAATAATCCCTACTTGACACATTATAAAAAAAATAATCCATATTGAACAGGTTCACAATAATAATAATTCAAACTACTCAAATGTTTTACTAAATTAAAATGAGAGTTAATCTAAACATATTTTTTCTGATAATTGAGTGGTAGCTCACTGATTCAAATTATGGGAAATTTTTAAATGAAAAAATTTAAAAATTCTAATTATAGGCCATCCCAATAGCCCCATCTTTGTGTCTACGTCCAAAAGGTTGAATCCCCAACCCCAAGGGGCCCCCCACCCCGACCCGACAGGATGGTGGGGGAGTAAATCACGGTGACTCAGTCGGCAAAGCGGCAGTAGGCCTTTACCCGTGCGCACCAGAGGGCCAGCCTTATTTCAGGTTCTGAAAACCCCCTTTTGGCCGCTGCGGGATTCGAACTTTGGTCTACGTCCAATTTTCCCCACCGCTCGACCAACTGAGCTACCCGTGCGAGTAGCCCCATCTTTGTGTCTGATTCACGTAGAAAGCGGTGGTGGGTCAAGAGGTGAGCGAGTCACCGAGTGCCCACGTGAAAAGTGAAACCAGAAGCATCACAAAAGCACACTGAGAAACTGACCAGATCAAAATGCATCTTCCCTTAAATCAGACGATCAAATGAAACTTTCAAACCTTGAGGCTTGAGATAAGATCATTGTAACATTACTTGAATAACTTTTCATTGTTGAATCCACCAAAATCACCTCTGGAAGTCGGAAGCCTCTCCATGGAGCTTCAGAATCTCAAACTAGAGTACTAGACAGGGTAAGGATAGGCACCGAGAGCACTGGTGCCTATTTTGGGGTGAAAATGAGAACGTATGTATAGATTGTATTTGTATTATTATGGAGTATGTGTATGTATTATGATTGAGATAATATATTTCCTATTGATTCAATGAGTAAATGTATTCATAAACTCCCTAATAAACTTATACGTGACAATGTGACATCAATAAGGCCTTATGAAGGATACCTTGAAATAGTAACGAATAAAGTTATTATCATGTGCTCTGATGTTATTGACATCATTAATATACCTCAGAGTCACAGGACTATAATTAAGGATGGCAATTTATGTCTGACCCACGAAAGTTGGGACATTTTATTATTACTCAAAATTATTTGCAGAAGTGTATTTAGTCATGGTACTGATCCATGAATCTTTTATGGAATTCTGTAAGGCGATCGACAATGTCTGGTATTTTATCCTCTTGCGGCAATATTGTGCACCTAAAATGCCACGTTCCATTTACCTGTTTATTCACCATGATAGAATGCAGTTGTTAAAATTGGCACTCAACAAAATGAATGATAATTTGTTTATTGTAATTGCTATTAAGCTGTAAGAATGTGTCCAGTAGGCAAAACTGTTGGGGTTAGAATTACTTTCCCTTGGATAATACAGAAGATGAGAAAATTTCATTATAAGACTAACATGACACTTTATCAAATGCGACCACTATTTTCCCTGAAAATATGACATAATTAATCCTAGACAAAGAAGGAAGCTTTCATTACTTGTATTCTTGGACTACAATTAAGGATATTCCTACGATATATAAAACAGACTATATTGAAGCTCAATTCCAAATATGTGACTTCCCTTTACATACTTAAATAAATTCAAAATTCTACCCAAGTGCTCCCCTTTTAGCCCCCTCCTGCTGCCACCACCTCCGCCACCGACATCCCCCACTGATTTAAAAAAAAAAAATGGAACAAGGCCAAAACAATTACATGTTTTCTGATTTTTTTTGTAAAATTTGACCCAAAAATGTATTTGAAAGATACTGTTAACTTTGGAAAAGTTTGGGACTGACTGACATTTAAGAGTGCACTTTGGAAAAGTTTGGCACCTGAAATTCTCTTTCCTTCAAAAATTACACTCAGTTTTCTCTCATTAGCATTTTAAATGTTGCAAACGCAGCGCAACCCAACTATTTATAAAAAGTGAAAGACCCATATTTTGGCACAAGGCAAATTGTTTCCCGTGGAGTTGCAATCCCCCAGTTTTACTAAATTACGATTTCCAACCCGTTCCCAGGTATACTCAACTCCACGGAACAGAATGAAGACAAGCATGTATGATTACCTCAAAGTCTATCTGGCGTACAAAATGCATGGCAATTTGAAAAATCATCAATGGAATATAATTTAAACTCTCGTTATTCTTTTCTTCCAACCCGTAAAAGAAAGAGTTAATTACCTGTCCAAAGCCAGAGCCTGGGACAACTACTACTCCAGTGGCATTAAGAAGGCAGCGAGCGTAAAATGCATCTGGAGCTGTCTTCACTGCTTCTGCTGCCTTTATAGCCTTCTCTGGGAGATGAATTTGAGGGAAGAGATACATCGCCCCTTCAGCTCTATTGCAACTAACTCCTTCCATACTGTTGAATGCTTTTTCAAGTGTCTGAACACATAAACACAGTAAAAATATCAAAAGATAAAAATACTCGACTAATAATACAAACCTTTTTAACAATAAGTCAGAAAGAGTAAGATGGGAAAGATGGAACCAAAAGCTTCAGCTTTCGTCTTTCTCTCAATAATTGTGCAGAGAACTAAAAATTTGAGAGGTCCTACAGTTTTTAATCCTTTTATTTCTCTTAAAACCCAGCAGTGTGAGTTTTCTCTCTAGCTCTCTCTCCTATGACTCATTCTCTACAAAATCATCACAGGTTCTCAACCAAACATACACTAAACACATTATCCAGAACCCATGTTCTTATATGTTACTTTTTCACATGGATATGACAGTTCACGGATCACTTTGAGCCACAAAAAACAAACATAATGTGCACTTTTAAATATGGGAAGTTGGTAAATGATAGGAGCCAGTTACTCACCTTTGCACGACTTGCCAATGATGATAGTATTGCATCTTTCTCAGCACAAAAAGACTCATATGATTCATCTCCTACCTGCGTAGTATCATCAGAACTTATAAAATGTCTAACCATCTTAAAAGATTTGTAAGACACAAGATGACAAATTTAAACCCTGCTGGTTGACTCATATTCAAGTTTACATAGCATTTGGATGTCAATAGTTTTTAAGAAACGAGTTAACGAAATAATAAATTTAGTACCACTCTGTGTTGGCTGCGTATTCATATTTAAGTTTGTAGGGCACTTTTATGTATAATGATCATCACCAGACATTTATTACAAGAACTCTGCATTTCCTAAAATAATTAAACCACTACTCTCATTATAATTATTGAAGTTCTTTACTCCTTTGAAGGGCATCAGTCATAAAACATTGACCGTAATTTCATACAATTACTTTAAGGGTTTTTCCTAATATGATAAGAAGCAATTATTGAATTATTGATACCTTTGATCCTTTCTCAAAACGCATTAATTACTTCTTATCAAATGTTTATGAGCACATTTATAAGGAACCCTAAAATTAATGCCTACGACTCCAATTAGTTGGTAAGTGCTGAGAACGATAATGAACAACAATGTGCTTGAATCGAACACCAGAGAACCTGCCCAAGGAGCCATTTTTTTCAATATATACTTTATGTACACCATAAACAAATAATATACACTAACCTTAGGGGGGCTCATGACAAGGCTGGCAAGAATCTGACCAGAAATATTGGAGCACAGATTTACAGATGCAACTTTGTATATTTGTTCCCTTATCTCAGGGCTAAAGCCAGTGACTTCCATGTAGCCTCCTCGCTTTCCACATTCTCCATAGAACCCTTAAGCCCAAGAAAGAGCATGAACAGAGACATTAATAAAGAGCCTATTAGAGTAGTAAATCCAAGAGAAAGGACAAATGATTCACCTTTAGAAACTGACTGAAATGATACCAAAGAAATATCATTCTCTCCATAACCCATAGAACGGGACACCTTCTTAAACGAGTGGAATTGTTTGTCAGGCACATAGACATTTTCTTGGTATACCTACCAAAGTTCAAACAACACTGTAAGGGCATAAAATAACACAATAACGCCAATTTCCAAATGACTCTTTTATGGGGGGGTAAGGATCGTCTTTTCATTTTAACTAAACAATTATACAAAATAGAAGGTATAAAATGAAAATTAGTAGGAACTAAACATCCTAATCACTTACTTTAAGACCACAAGCCATAAACTGTATCATTCTCTTAATTTTTTTTTTAAAGAGGCCTCACAAAAAACAACTTCAGAGCAACCAAAATAGCCAATAGAATGAACTACGCACTTCATCTGCCAGAAGCACAAGGCGTTCTTTCTTGCAGAACTCTACAATTTCTTTTTGGTTAGCCTCAGCCAGAACCTGTAAGAATTTCTGATTGATCAATCTATATTCAGAAGCAATACAATTTTAATAGATTGGCAATTTGGCATAACATGAAAGATGGTCCATGGATGGATATGTTCTTCTCTCTGTTTCTCCATACCTGCCCAGTAGGATTGCCCGGATTTATCACAACCAAAGCCCAAACATTAATTCCCTTTGACCTGGCAGTTTCAAGCTGTTTCTTAAGCTCTGATGTTTCCAGTCCCCATCCAGTAGCCTCATCGAGATAATAAGGAACCTATAAACATCATATAAGAATCCTCAGCAAAAATATGAAAATGTGGAATTGTGCATTCAATCAAGGGGGAAATGATATGCTTGATGCTTCCAATAGTAAGGTGGTGAGGTTAAGAGCAGAACGTGTTGGGTAGGCATGCATATTCAAATGTAAAAATTTTAACTAGAATCATGAAATTATTATGTCTATCTAACTTGAGTTGGGAGTTAGGACATACGAGAGTGCCACCATGGAGAGCAATGGAAGCAGAGTAAAGTGGATACTGAGGGATGGGACAAAGAATTCCATCATTCTCAGAACTAATCAGTAACTGCATCATCATGTGAACCTGGATAAAATGATAAGTTAGACATACAATGCCGACTTAAGCTTGCCAAAACATTGGGATGTACTAAACAAAAAAACTAGTTCAAAATTCAAATACCGCTGGGCTAGCACCATCAGTCAAGAAAAGATCATTTGGATTGGCAGGGAAACCATCACGAGCCTCGATACCAGAAGCAATTGCATCACGTAACCCTTTAATACCCTGTGTTTAGATACAAGTTGAATAATATATATCAAAGAATTAATAGCTGATTTAGCCCCTCAAAAGTACATGATTAATCATTTTGTTGGTTTTGAATAAGAAGAATACCAGAAGCAATTGCATCACGTAACCCTTTGATACCCTATGTTGGTTATGAATTAATAGCCAATTTAGTCCCTCGACGTTTAATTATCATTCATTTGGTTGGTTCTCAATAAGAAGGGTATTTTTTTGGTTCCTTCGATTTAGTCCCAGTTTCAGGTCCTCAACATTGCCTGAGGACTAAATTAAGTCTAAATTTCATAGTCAAGGATCAAACTGAGTGTGTTGACCAAGTACATGATAGCATAGGGGAAAAGAAATAGGGTATAGTTGAGAGGCCAAAGAAAGTTAATCGAGGAACTATTGTCACAAGAAAGACTACAACCAAATAAGTAGTAGCATATAGTAAATAAATTTAGAAGAATTAACATTAAATGGGCAACTCATCTGAAATAAATTTAGAAGAATCTTAGTGAATAAAATTAGACCTGACTATGGCTGTATGCACCGGTTGCTCTTCCTGGAATTTGATCAAGAATTTGGAAAGCCCTCTCTATAGAGTCCGCACTATAGAATGATGAAACCAGTCAGATGCTGGATGAGTTTTAAAGTTTGCACCTACATGAGATATGATAGTCTATAACTCCAAACAGGAGTCATATTTTTATATAAAATTCTGCTGCAAGTCAATGACTAATCTCAATCTCTTACTTACCTGAACAGGCCTTGAGTTTCACTCTTATCCAAAATGGAAGGATGGTCACATAAAGCAAGTACCTAACATACGAAAGCCTATCATCAAGTATTCCTAAAAAAATATTCCTATGCTTCAAAATTTTAAAACATTGACTTGTGCTGACCTCCCTAAAGAAAGTAATGGGCTGCTGGCCAAGGGATTGTGGATTGCCAATATTGCAATAAATAATCTGCAAATCTCAGCAAATAAGTGAATGCATAGGATATAGAAAATAACTAAATTAAGTAAAACAAATGTAGAAAGCCCCCCCCCCCCCCCCCCCCCCATTAGGTTAAGCAAAAAAATGAGATATATCAAAGCATACATCTTTAAAGATTCAATACCTCATCAAATGGATGAGACCCTGGGTTTGAGTGTAGCTCTTCTTGTAGTTTCTGTCGATCAATATCAGGAAGGGCTCTGAGATCCGAATAAAATCATTGCAACTATTTGAACTCTATAATAGTTACCTGAGCAAGGTTGACAATTTCTCCACGAACAGCATACTCACATTTCAAAACCTGGACAAAGGACAGCAACAATCATGTAACTGAAATATTCAGAGGCATGAATATATGTTCGTCAGAAACATAAGATATTCTGATAGGTCCATAGAAACTCAAAGTCCAAAGGAGCAGAGTTGATCAGCTAGTTAAATAGGTAACCATAAATTATACATAAACTATAACGATAAATAATATATACGATAAATAACATATACTACCTAATACGTATATACTAAGCATATTTCACATTGCAGCAGAAAATCAAAAAGACGTGTTTTTTATTTGTTTTAAAGAACAAACTATCTACACAAACATGAAATATAGATTAATTATACATTAAAAAACACTGCAGTTCAACAACACAGCAATTAAAATTGAAGTAAAAACAGGAAACAAGAAAAGGCTAAAGATTATTGCGTATCTTTTTTTCTTGTAAAGGTCAAAGGAGAGTCTCTTTATGAAAATAAAGGAGATTGGATTCAAAATAATAAAACAATTGAATTCTCCGAAAAAAGTACTCCGTATAGTTAAGTTTTACCTTGGGATTAATGGATTGAATATTGACTGGAGTGGATGAATAATCAGAACCGGCCATTGAATCGGATGAAGAAGAAGGATCAGAAGTCGGACTAGTATTGCTCAAGACACGCGACTGAGATGAAAGGGAAGAAGCGCAAGGCTGAAACGCGTGAGAGGAAGACAGAGGTGAAGAAGAAACGAGTCGATTGACGAGATTTCTAGACTTCTCGCTCACGAATCTCCGCATCGTGACGCCTTTATTCCCCAAATATAATTAAAATAATAATATGGAGCCAAGTGTCCACCCCCACTACAGCCTTTGACTCGCTAGCTTGCTGCTCAAGAAGTGTTTCAAAATCGAAATTCCATGGGCAGAAGTGTGTTCCGTGAGAATGATTCCATTATGCTCTGCTCCGTCAGATATCAGCTTCGCGTGATCTGTATTTCAACTCTGTATGCCACTTTCCACAGAAATGTTCTTCGAGTATACGGACTTCGTTAATTCAACTTCTAGGTCATGTTTTGCCTTAGTTTGGACAATGAAAGCAGTAGAGAACATCGAACAGAAAACGAAAAGTACTCCAGGTTCACTATTCACCTAGTCAACTTTTATTAGGATTTAGTGGTAAAATTTTAAAAGGTAATGGATTTTAAAGGTTTAGATGTATTCAATGTGGACTTTTAAAAGTATATAAAAGTTTAGATGTATTCAATGTAGACTTTTAAAAGTTTATAAAAGTCTAGGCATATTCAAAGTTCCGTTCATTCTTATTGATTTCTAAAATCCTGGATTCTCGTGGATTTTTAATTCATTTTTAGTACATTAATTCTCCTCAATTGTCTCTTCTCCTAACTAAAGATTTCCGTGGACTTTTCTTATATCGATTCTTCATCCCGTCCCACCTTATCCCTCCCCTCCCCCCAACTCTCATCTTCTTTAGCCAAGTCACTTCTTCCCCTTCGATCTTTCTTCTTCTTCAGCCCAGCTCGCCGCACTCCTCTCCTTCCGTTCTTTTTCTTCATCAGCGTGCCCCACCTCACCCCCCTCGATTCCCCCTCAATTCGTTAATCCCATATTGGTTCGATTCTAGAAGTTTATAGAAGAACTGATAAGAATCGATATTATTACATCAGTGCAATTCTGGTACGTCGTCACTTAACTATTAAGAAAATAAATATTTTAACTATTACTTTCTTTCATCGTTAAATCGCTAACACATAAAAATATAATTTCAAGTTAATAAATATATAACCGTAAATAAGTATACAAAATTTTACAAGATAGAAATGAAAAGAAAACAATTATTAAGAAGATAAACTCGATTGTAACTATGCTTGTACCACATGCAGCAATGAGTGTAACGGTTGTGTAACGATTAATGTTCTTACTCATTAATAAAGTGACCAAAATTCTTGAGCATTCTTGAAATTTTGAGTTTTTTTTAATAAAAATAAATTTGGATTCTTATGCTTCATTTATTCTTGTAGAACTTTGTATTGCTATATGAATTACATTTATTTATTTATTTGTTTGTTTGTTTGTTTGTTTGTTTCTTATCATACTCCGTATTATACAGCGGAAATTACTTAGGGTAGGACAAAAACATAGTATTCTTCTTAAAGTATGATCATATGTTTGATTTTCCTTAAATAGGACTAAATATTACATATTCACCCCTAATTTAATTAATTAATATAATTAATTGCCCCTAGTTCCCTTGCATAACCAAATCGATTTTGTTGGTGGTGGATCAGTCTGATGACGACAACGGGGAACTCCGGTGACGGGGCGGATGGGCAGATCGGTAGCGGTGATCTAGGTGAAAATTTCGACGACCAGCAGTGGTGGTCCGCATTTAAAAGTCTATGGACTTTTTGAAAGTCAATAAATTTATCCATGGATTTAAAAGTCCATAGAATACATTCATAAAAAAGTCTATGGATTTATCAAATTTATATTTTTTTATCAGCCTTTGTAGCGGTTTTAATGTAATTTTTCAATATGTATATTTTATTTACTAAAAGTAATCTGAGTATGAACAGGGATCGAGATGTTTTATCATCGGTCAAGCATCGTAATCCGAAATGGGAAGTTCATTTTGGGACGGAGGTAGTATATATATAAAAGAGGAACTTTTGAAGAGCATACAAACACTACATAATTCTGCCATGCATTATATATTATATATAACAATTATTTACTTATTTTTATACCTTTTATTTAGGCATGGCAATGGGTCGGGGCGGGACGGGTACTGCAAGACCCAGACCCGCCCCGTGACTTGGCGGGGCGGGTCCGCCCCGCCCCGTGACCTGCACGGGTCCAAACTTTTTGACCCATGACCTGCCCCATGCGGGGCGGGTCCGCCCCGCCCCGTCGTAACTTAATTAACTAGTATGTATTTTTATTTATGGCAAGTTGTTACCAATTGAATTTACTTAAAATTTATCTCTAAATAATAATTAAAAATTAATATATTAAATCATATTCATCATACCCTAAAAATTTCAAAAATTAAGGAAAAATTACCCAGATTTGAATAGTTAATCTTTTAAATTATACTAATAATTGAACATATGTATTAAAATACTATATACTCCGTATAAAGAAGACATTGATAATCCGTCGTTCATCTCATTCTAATATATGTATTAATATATTATAAGATCAAAGAATTTATGATTTACTGTATACATACATATGTATGTTGAAGTATATTTGTAGTATAATTTAAGAAAAAATATGTATGTTTATGTATTGAGCGGGGCGGGGCGGGTCAGGGCGGCACGGGTCAATACTAATACCCGGACCCGCCCCATTGTATAGGCGGGGCGGGGCAGACCCGCCCCATTTGGAAGACAGGCCGGGCCGGACCCGCCCCAAATGTCTCGGGCCAGGGCGGGTCACTGCGGGTCGGTTTTTTTTTGACATCCCTACTTTTATTTTTATTAGATTCTATTTTTGATTGCATATTAATATGGAAACAAAAATCCTTATAAATCCACCTTAATTAATTTGGTAAACTTCAAATAAGTAAAATAATTTTTTATTATCAAAGTGAAATTCTAATAACATTTATTGATATGGAAACAAATAATTAAAAACAAATATGCAAATTAGTTTACTTATTATTTTGACACCTGTTAATAAATTAGTAAGCTTCAACTAAGTAAATAATTAAAAATGAAATTAAAAATTATAATCAACATAAAGTATATATATTTTCACAAGTAAATATGTTTAGCTTAGCCAAATAAGTAAATTTTTTTGTTGTTTCTTTATTTTACACATAAAATTCAAATATGCCTTTACTTTTGAAATAGATTCCTAATCGAGATTAGAATATCTTTATAGGTTTACGAATTCCTACTTTTATTTTAATAGAATGTTTTTAATTGTTGATTTAAGTTCCAGATTAAATCAGATCAGATCAAACTTTAACAAGTATAACAATAAGTCACATAAAAACAGATATCTAATAGACCATATTAATTCATACCAAATCAAACCCGAAATTTTAATTCAATTAAAAACGTTCTTATTAATGAGTAAATTGTAAGATCTAACAATTAAAAAATATAGATTTTTTTTATTATTGGGTTCATATCAATTATGTTTACTTGAGATTCTTATTTAAAAGACCAATTTAACTTTTTCATATATATTTTTCTTTGTTTCACAAATGGAATATATTTCACATATATTTTTGATGATTCAGAAGATTCCTCCTATTTAACCAGAATTCAATCAATGTAAGCAAAATAAGTCAATTCTATTTACATTAGCATTATCAAACAGACTCTATATTAGAGACTAAGTTTATTTTTCTTTTAAATAACATTATATGTGATCCGATAGAAATTAACTTTCAAATTAGCTAAATTACATCGCACGGGCTTGAAAGCTAGTATCATTATAATTCACCTTTTTTTATTTCATCCCGCTAAATTTGTCTCTAATGTTTGTGATTGTGTTCATAGATGACATCTTGATTTACTCAAAGAGTGAAGAAGAGCATGAGGAGCACTTGGTACTTGTTCTTCAGACGCTACGGGAGAAGCAACTCTATGCCAAGTTTTCCAAATGTGAATTTTGGCTAAGGGAGATTGGCTTTCTCGGGCATGTAGTTTCGGGATCAGGGATAACGGTTGATAACAAGAAGATTGAAGCCATTACCGAATGGGAGAGGCCAAAGAACGTCAAGGAAATACGTAGTTTCCTTGGATTGGCAGGATACTATAGAAAATTCGTGGAGAAATTCTCAGCTTTGGCATCACCATTGACGAAGCTCAGTCGAAAGGGGGCTAAGTTTGTATGGGATGATCAATGTGAGAAGGGATTCCTTGAATTGAAGAAAAGATTGACCGAGGCACTGATACTTGTATTACCCAAACAGGGTATGGGGTACGATGTCTACAGCGACGCGAGCATCCAAGGGCTTGGATGTGTCTTGATGCAGAATGGTAGGGTGATTGCCTATGCTTCACGACAGTTGAAGAAGCATGAGGTAAATTATCCTACTCATGACTTGGAGTTGGGGGCAGTGGTATTTGCAATGAAGATTTGGAGACATTATCTCTACGGGGAAACATGTCATATATACATTGACCACAAAAGCCTGAAGTACGTGTTTACTCAGAAAGAGTTAAACATGAGACAGAGACAGTGGATGGAGTTGATAAAAGACTACCATCTAGTTATCGAGTACCACCCCGGTAAAGCCAACGTGGTAGCGGATGCCTTGAGTCGAAAGAGTTCGTCCGGGGCATTGTTGTCTAGTTTGAGGGCATTGAGAGCCCAATTGGAGGTATCTAGCGACGGTGCCTTGTTAGCTAGATTCGAGGTGAGGCCTACATTACTTGATGAAATCAAGAAGGCTCAAGAAACTGACGAAGAGCTTATGAAGGTCCGTGAACGCATGCTAGCGGGACCGGTTGAGGATTTCAGGGAAAGAGATGATGGTCTCTTATTATTTCGTGACCGAGTGTGTGTACCGTCGGATGATGAGCTCCGAAAGTCCATCTTAGAGGAGGCTCATTCATCGGCGTATGCCATGCATCCGGGGAGGCACGAAAATGTACCGTGATTTGAAAGAAAGTTACTGGTGGTCTGGTATGAAGAGGGAAATAACCGAGTACATCAGTAGGTGTCTTACTTGTCAGCAAGTTAAGGCAGAACATCAGCATCCAGCTGGGTTATTACAGCCACTTTCCATTCCTGAATGGAAGTGGGAACACGTGACTATGGATTTCGTGATGGGGCTGCCACGGACGGTTAAGAACTATGATGCCGTATGGGTTGTGGTTGATAGGCTTACGAAGAGTGCACATTTTCTACCTATCAACACCACCTATGCACTGGAGAGGTTAGCCAAGTTGTATGTTGATGAGATCGTGAGGCTACATGGGGTTTCGATAACCATTGTATCCGATAGTGATCCGCGATTCACATCACGATTTTGGCCGAAGTTCCAAGAATCTATGGGGACAAAGTTGAAATTCAGTACAGCTTTTCATCCACAAACGGATGGGCAATCCGAGCGGGTTATACATATATTAAAGGATATGCTAAGAGCTTGTGCATTGGAGTTCCAAGG